GGGGACCGGGCAGGGCCCCCCGGTGCGAGGGGAGCCCCGCCGGAGCCGGGGTCCCGGGGCGGGGGTGGTGTGGGGCCGGAGCCTGGTCCTCAGTTGGGGGACAGGTCCCCGGCTCTACCAAATGCCGCTCGACCGGCCTCCGGGGGGAGCGAGAATCCGGGCCGAAGCTCGCTTTGGAACGTGGTCATCGATCTGAGAACCTGCCGGACAGATGGACAGACGGGCATCAGGGCAAGAACCCAACAGCCACCCTGGCACCCGCAGCGCGGCCGGCAACCCTGCTGCCAGCACCGTGGGGACACCGGGTGCTCTGTGTGTCCCCGGCTCCCCCACAGCCCCTGCTCCTGCCTCGGTGGTGCCGCACGCAGTGGGGAAGCACCGGAGCACCGGTGCCTCATGCAGCATTGGCCATACTGGGACTGACGCTCGTGACCCCCCAGAACCCAGCGTCTTGCCCTGGGGGGGTCAGAGTGTCCCCGGCCCTGCTAGGAGCACCGAGCAGGGTGCCGGCAGGGAGCTTCACCGGAGGCTCCCAGCCCCGGCACAGCCAGCACTGAGCCACGGTGAGCACAGGCAGCACAGAGCGCTGCAGCCAAGGGAGCAGATGCAGCCAGTCCCGCTCCTGTCTGAGCATGGCATGTGGCTCGGTCCTGTCCGGCACAGGACAGTGCCATGGCAGCTGTGGGGTGGGAGAGCGGGTGCCCACCGGAGCCGCGGGGATGACCCCCATCCCTCCGGTTCCGCTCCCAGGGACAAAGGTGCCCAAACACAACGCATGCGCTGGCTCAGTCCTGCCCGCCCTGGCCCCCCGGCCCGACACAGATCCCTGCCAGGCGCAGCTATGCGACAGACGGTGCGTGGAGGGATGGGCGAGGGCTGGTGGGGCTGTGGGTCTGGGGAGGTGGTCAGCTCCCTACTCTACTGTGGGAGCACCGGGGTGGCACAGCGCCCTGCCCGGGAGAAGGGGGGTTGCACCCCAGGGTGGCAAGCGCCCAGCTGGTGCCGGAGAGCCGCCGGGTGTGGGGCTGCCGGTGAGCCCCAGGGGGGGCTGAACGCGGGACAGGGGCTGCCGGGACCCTCGCTGCGGCCCCGCTCTTACCAGACAGGCTGAAGCTGGACTCGTGGAGGTCCCTCATGCCCCCGTGTCGCGTGGCAGGCCGGGTGGGCGTATCGGCCAGGGGCGTCCCCGTCTCTTTTTTCCCGGCATGCACAACCACGGCCACGTCCCCCAGGTATGGGGTGCGATCCACACCCCGCAGCTTTAAACTCTGCCGGAAGGGAAAGAAAAAGCAGAGAGAGCATCAGCTCGGGCGACACCGCGCCGCGGTGGGCTGCGGCTGGGGCGTGGGGGGAGGACTAGGGGTGCTACTGCCTTACAGCAGGGTGCGGATCAGCCGGGTGTGGGGGGGAGGGAAGGGTGCGGGGGCATGCTGCGGCATGGGGAGGGGGCTGCAGCGTGGGGAGGGGTACAGGTGGGGAGGAGAGGCACCCAGTGGGATGCTGGCTGGGCTGCGGGGCTCCCGGTGCAGGAGGTACCGGCACAGAGCGGTGCCAGAGCAGGGACTGGGGGAGGCAGGTGACCCTGGTGGCGCAGCCCCTCAACCCTGTCCCTCCCGGCGATGCCAAGCCGACCCCCCCCAGTGCTGGCTGTCGGCTCCCAGCTCCCCGGGACAGCACCCGGACCCCCCAGGCAGCCCCTTCCCTCACAGCATCAGCACCACATTGAGCCCCCCCAGCACATCTCCCACGGCTGGGCAGGGGCTGGCGAAAGGCGCAGGGGCACGGAGGGGTTCCTGGTGCCGGGGTCTGCCGGAGCTCCTGGGTGTCATGCCAGGACAGCCCTGGGGACCCACGAGTGCAGAGGGGGATGGCAGGGTGGAGGCTGTCCCCCTCGCCCGCAGTGGGTCAGCAATGGGATGGGGGGACCGGGGGGTAGAGCAGAGGAAGAGGGGGCTTCTGCAGCCCCACCAAGTGTGGGCAAGACATGCGCTGCAGCCCAGGGGAGCACGTGCCCCGGGGTCCCCTCCTGTCCCAGCCATGCGTGACCCTGTGCCGGTGCACGTGGGGCCGCTGTGAGGCCGCCTCGGGCGGCTGCAGAGGGGGGACCCTGCCAAGGGCAGAGAGCCCAGGACAGCGGAGCGCGGGGGGGCCCCCAGACGCCTGGCACGCACCTCGCACACGTGTCGGGACAACCGCCGTCCGCAGCAGCACATAGTGAGACTGTTCCCAAACACTCTGCACCGCCGGCACACGGGCAAGGGCCCAGGGAGGGGCAGGAGCTGGGGCAGCGGGGTCCTCCATCATACGCCCACCCACAGGGACCCCACCGCTGGCGCTTGCCCCTGACCAGGCACTGCCACTGCCATCCTCCCCCATCCCCAGCACGAGGCACGCTGCGCTCCCGCCACACGATGCTCCAGCGTGGTACTGACCGCGGCATGGTGTAGCACCGTGATGACATGGCACTAGGCGGCACAGACCCGTCCCCCCATTGACCCATGCTGCTGGGACCACCGCGACCACTGCCTCCCTCGGCCCCTCCAGCAGCCGGGAGCCAGGCACGGCGCAGCTCTGCCCCACGCCGCAGCACAGCACCCACACGGCCCCCGCCACCCCCCTACCTTCTCCCGCTGCACCAGCTTCTTATAGACGGAGTCCGGGAATGAGCGGAGCGGGCAGAACTTGCCGGTGCCCTCGGCACACATGAAGACACCGTTCTCGTAGACCACGCGCCCGCGGCTGATGGTGACCAGGGGCACCCCGTGGCACCGCATGTTCTCGTACAGGTTGATGTCCCCCCCCTGCACCTGGGTGCTGGCCGAGATGGTCCTGGGCGGGGGGACGGGGCAGTGAGTGGGTGCCCAGCAGCACAGGGAGCCCCCTCCCCGCCGGCTGCACCTACTTGGTGGCCTCAGGGTCCCAGACCACAACGTCGGCGTCAGCCCCGGGGATGATCCGGCCTTTGCGGGGGTACAGGTTGTGGATCTTGGCAGCATTGGAGCTGGTCACAGCCACGAAGCGGTTCTCATCCATCTTGCCCCCGACCTGCCGCCGGGGGTGGGGGTGAGGATGTGCTGGGCCACATCCTACCCCAACCCCACAACACTGCCCAGCTGCCTGTGCCCCTTCCCTCACGCTCTGTGCTGCCTACCCCAAACCCCCCAAAAATCTCAGGGGGTGCTACTGGGGCCGGATCCCTTGCTGGGACCCACTGGGTTGCACTGGGGAAGCACCTTGCCTGCCCCCACACCGGAGGGCAAACCCACCCAAGGGACGTCCCGTGGGACCCACGGAAAGGGCCCTCCAACCCTAAAGCTGGGGCCAGCTCAGCCCAAGCTGGACCCACTGCCGAGCCCCCCGAGAGCCAGGGTGGGGGGACAGCCCCGTCCTGGGGGTGCCTGGGGGCAGGGGAGGGGTGTGGGACCCCGTACCACGCCTCGCTCCCAGATGATGTTCATGCGGTCCTGCACCCCGCTGACGCCGTGGGGGATCTTGGTGAAGTCCTCCTTGCCCATGGCTTTCTGCTTGGTGCTGAAGGGCCGGTGGTCAGAGGCCACGATGTTCAGCGTGTCACTGCGGGAGGACAGGACAGCGCTGCTGATGGCACAGCTGGGGCAGCTCGGCCACAGCCAGCCACTGGCATGGCAGGTGGCCGGGAGCGGGGTGCCCAGGGAGCTCAGTGCTCAAGCAATGGAGCACCCATGCCGTGGGGTGCCCAGGGAGCTCAGCACCTTGGGAGTGGGGTGGCTGGGGAGCTCAGCACACAGGCAGCAGGGTGCTCAGGGAGCTCAGCACTTGGGGACACCTTGAGGTGCTCAAGGAGTGGGCAGCCACGCAGTGGCGTGCCCAGGAATCGGGGTGCCTGGTGAGCAGGGTGTCCAGGGAATAGGGCATACAGGGAGTGGGGTGCCTAGGGAGCTCAGAGCCCAGGGATGGGGGTGCCTGGGGAGTGCGGCATTCATCCAGTAAGGTGCCCAAGGAGATCTGTGCCCAGGGAGCAGGGTGCCTGGGGAGCTCAGCACTTGGGGAGTGAGGTGCTCGGGGAGCGGGGCACCCACCCAGTGGGGTGCTTGGGGAGCAGGGTGCCTGGGGACCAGGGGCACCCATGCACTGGGGTGCCCAGGGAGCTCAGCACCAGGGAGCGGTGTGCCCAGGGAATGGAGCAGCCATGCAGTGAGGTGCCAGGGGAGCTCAGCACCCAAGGAGCAGGGTGCCTGGGTATTGGGGCACCCAAGACCCCAGGTGCTCAGTGAGTGCTTGGAAAGTGCAGCACCCACAGAGCAAGGCCCCGAGGGAGCACAGTGTCTGGGAAGCGAGGCACCCAGAGAGCCCAGTGCCCAAGAAGTGAGGTGCCAGGGACATGGGGTGCCTGGAGGCCAGCCCAAGGAGGGGGGTTGCTCAAAGGATGGTGTGTCTGGAAGGCACAGCACCAGGGGAGCAGGGTGCCTGAACACATGATGCTGGGGTGACGGGGCAGCGGGACGGCATGGCACCTGGGAGCAGGACGCCTGGGCATGCAGAATACCAGGGATGCCCGGAGAGCACCAGCAAGCGTGGCAGCTGGGGAGGGGGTGCCGGGAAGAATGGCCCACGGGGAGAGGGTGACCAGGGCGTGGGGTGCCCGAGGTGCCTCACTTGGCAAGCAGGCTCATGAGGTAGGCGGAGGTGTTGGTGTCCAGGCGTAGTGGCGGCACAGTGACGTAGGCGGCAGCATGGAACCAGTCCTGGTGGTAGTAGTGCAGCCCGGTGAGCGTGGCGTGTGCCGTGGTCGTCTCCGCGTACACCACCTTCCCTGCCGGGGTGGAGGCACACGCATGGGGCGGGGGGCAGTGGGGCGGGGGGCGACTGTGCAAGGGCGGGGTGTGCACAGGTGAGCGTGCAAGGGGCATGCGTGTGCTCTGTCCGTGTCGGTATCTCTGCAGGCAGCATGTGCCTCCGTCTGAGCATGTGTACACACATGCTCACGTGTGTCGCGTGTCTGTGTGAGCAGTGCTGCAGGTGCCTGGTGGCTGGGGGCCCACATGTGCACATGTGTCTGAGGGCACATCCCCACATGCACATATGTGCTCCTGTGTCCATGTGCCTGTTCCTGCCTGCATCCCTATCCACGCAAGAGCCCATGTGTCTCTGCGTGCCCATGGCTCCGTACCTCCCGTGCCGTGAGTGTCCACCCCTCTGCATGTGACACGGCCCTGTGTGTGCCCATCCATGTCCCTTCCAGCCCACAACCTTCCCGCTGCCCACATTCGCCCTGCGTGTGGCCCGCGTCCGTGGGTGTGTCTGTGTCCATGCATGTGCCCCTTGCCCACACATGTCCGTGGCTGCATGTGCCTGTGTCCCTGCGTGTGCCCTGTGTCTGTAAGCCCGCATGGGCTCACGCTGGTGTGTGCACACCCCTCCGCGTGTATGCCGGTGCCTCTGCCCGTGTGCCCGTGTCCCTGTGTGTGCCCACGCGTGTCGCAGCCTCCCGCCCAGGGACAGTCCCCACCACAGGGGGCGGAGCTACGGGGAAAGGGGGCGGAGCTACGGAGCAGAGGACAGATCCAAGGCGCCAAGAGAAGGAGCGGGGCTACAGGCGAGGGCGGAGCTAAGGGCTCTTCAACTGTAGGGGGCGGAGCTACAAGGCAAGAGGGAGAACCAGCGGCTCTGGCTGCAGGGGGCGGGGCCAGGGGACGGGTGGGCGGGGCCAGGGGACGGGTGGGCGGGGCCAGAGGGCTCCCACCTCGTGGCCACAATCCCTGGGGAAATGCAGGTTTTGCCCCAGTGGTGCCAGACCCCCCCACCCCACTGAGTCCAGAGCCCACGGGCGTCCACGTCCCACCCCACTGCCAGCTCGGGTGGGGGGGCCACATCCTGCCCTAGGGGTGGCCATCCGGGCTCCCTACCTTGCATCTTCGCGGCAGCGATGACATCCCCTGCAGACATGCTGGAGACGTTCACCAGGTAGATGGGGCAGTGGGTCTGTGGAGAGGGGGGTCAGTGCCACTGTCCCCATGGCGACCCAGTTCCATGGGGGGGTCCCAGCGCTCCTATCGGGACCTGGGACCCCCCCATGGAACTGGGGCGCCCACCCACAGATGCAGCAAAGGGGGATGCCCCAGCTGCAGGAGGTCCGGCATGGCCGTGTGCTGCACACCCCGCTTGCTCAGGGTGGTGGGAGGGACACCCCAGCGCAGACCCTCGGCAGTGAGGTTCAGTCCTGGCCACCTGGCTCAGGACCACTCACCCTGTTGGCAATGGTGATGACACGGTGCGTGGCCTCAGCTTCCAGCTGCAGAGACAGTGGGAGTGAGATGCACGGCATGGCATGGCAAAGTGCCCCGGCTAGGGCATGGTGTGGGTTTGGGTGGGTGGTGCAAGGATGGGCATGCAGATGGGTGCACGGACAGCACAGATGGGTGCACAGGTGGTGCCAGCTATGAGGATGCCCCGGAGCATCCCAGCCATGTCCCAGGATGCCACCTGTGCAATGACTCAGGGACACCAGCAGTCGCCTACCTCTTCAGGCCGGCTGATCTCAATGCCCTCCGGCCCCGTGATGCCCAAGTCCAGTGCCTCCTTTGCTCCCTAGGGAATTGGGCAGGGGTGTGTGAGTCAGGGTGGAGGTGACACGAGGGGCTCTGCCTGCCCCAAGCACATGGCTGGGTGCCCATTGCTGCCGGGCACTCCCGGTCCCGGCGCTCACCTCAGCCACCAGCTCGCCGTTCTCAGCATGGACTCGGGCGATGGCGCCGATGTCGCGGCAGGCCTGGAAGACCTGGTAGAGCTCGCTGTCCCGCAGCATGTACAGGTCCTTGTAGGTCATAAACATCTGGAAGGAGTTCACCCCCTTCTCCCGCACCAGCGTCTCCATCTCTGCCTTCACCTGCACAAGGATGGGGGGGGTCAGCACAGTGTGGGAGGGATTCGGTGGCTCTGGGGTGCACGGGCAGCCATGGGACCCACTCCTCCCACCCCGCCATGAGGCAGGGACTGACGCTCCCCCCCTGGGGATGTGAGATGCAGGATTTGTGCATGCACCCTGGGGTGATCCGGGGAGCGACAGATGCTGGGGGGAGAGCAGGGGGGATTTTGCTTGCCATGTCACGCCATGATCTGGCCCTGGCCTGGCTGGATCCCTGGTGTGCCAGTTTTGGGATGCACCCTGGGGGGCACCTGCTCCATCCCCTTCCATCCCCTGCTCTGCCTGGGGAGGGCCTGGCTGGGACACAGGGTACACAGTGGCTGGGGTCTCCCTCAAGCCAGGCCTGATCCTGCTCCGGCAGCTTTGGTGGGGATTGCATACACCATAGGATGGGGTCTGGGTGCCGAGCAGGACCAGCCCCCGCTGCCACCCCCATGGGGGCCATGCTGCAGGATGGGGTCCCCCCCTAAGCTGGGACCACCGTGCCCAGGCACCCTGCTCCCCTCCATGGAGTGGCAGCACCTTCCCTGCCCTGGCAAGGGGCTCAGCCCCATGCAGACCCCCTGCCTCGCTGAGCCCGGATCAAGGCAGCTCAAAAGGCAGCCTGGGGGCTCAGCCCAGCCCACCCCAACAAGCAGCTAATGGGATCAGCGGGGCTGGGAATTAGCCCTGGCCGTGGCAGCTGCTCCCGGGCACTGTGGCCCTGGGCCTGCCTCGCTGTGCCGGCATCAGAGCCTTGCTGTACTGGCGTGGCATGGCCAGACTCACCTTTGGCGCCCACCAAGTGATGCCCATGTGCAGGGCGTAGTCGCAGCAGACCTTGGGGTCAGCCAGGCTGCGGCACTTCTCGTAGGCGTCCAGCAGCGAGGTCTCCTTGTCAGGCAGGACGTGGCCGATGATCATCGTCGTCCCTCCCACCAGGGCTGCCTGCAGGTTATGGGGGACAGCAGCAGTGGTGGTGGGCAGGATTTGTCCTGCTGGAGAATGGCCCCCGAGGCCCGCGGTGCTGCCCACGCCACGAGGCAACACTAGTCCTGTCTGGCTACGATCAGGGCTGATCCCCGGGCGGCCGGGCTGGGACAGCCACATTTGGGGCATGGCGATGCCTGCAGGCAGGTGGGGGCCCTGGGCTGGGCTCCGTTGCAGGCAGGGATCCCCCCACATCACCCTGGGGTGCAACCACCCCCCGCAGTAAGAACCCTGGTCCTGCCTGCGGCTGCCTGGATGCAACAGCACATCTGGGTGCATGACACATCTGGAGAGCCCCATCCTGCTGCCCGCTGGGGCACTGACTGTCCCCCCCAGCACCAACCACTGGATTTGGGGTGCCAGGGGTACGCCCTGCCTGTGCTGCCCATGGGCCTGGGCACCGCAGTCCCTGCAGCCCCCCAGCTGCACCTCTGGCACAGGGCCTGATCTGGGATGGGGCTGCCCAGCCCAACCCAGCCCTAGCAGCATGGGGGCCACAGGGAGACAACCCCCTCCCCCGCCACGGCATGCGTGGGCCGCAGGGCGGGCGCTGTCACACCCGGCGGTGTCCCTGGCTCACCCAGCCTGGCTAATCCCCAAAGCTCCTTTACCAATTGGCCCTCATGGGCTGGCGCCAGCGCAGTGCTACAAGGCAGACTGCTGGGATGGGGATGGGGAGCAGGCAAGGCATAGGGTGCACCAGCATCCTGCCCTCCGGCACATCTCTGTGCCCCCCCCGGGCCCCTCGCTGTGCCGCGGCATGGGACCATCCCCCCAACCCCTTTGCTGCAGCCGCTGTGGCAGAGCTGAGCCCCCTGCCCAGGGATGCTGGGCACGCCGGGGCCAGGCACAGCCAGTGCTGGCTTGGCACAATGGCTGCTCTGTGTGGGGTGCTGGAGACAGCCGGCCCCGGCACTGCCTGGGACAAGCCCGCGCCGGCACCTTGACACCCCGAGGCAGCGGCACCCAGTGCATGGCACCACCATCCCACGGCAGGGCCCTGCAGCAGAGGGAGGGCCCTGAGCCAGGCTGGCACCGCAGAGCATCCTTGCTGCTATAGGTGACTCCAGCCGAGCCAGACCTGGGCTTGCCATGTCCTGGTCTGGAGCTGGACGAGCATCCCTCCCCAGCAGGGTCTGTGGGGCACCAAGGGGTCCCTGCGTGGGAGAGAGCATCTTTGCTGCGCGCAGGTGGGCTGCACCCTGTGGGGACCAATCCTGCTGGTGCACCCACCCCTCTGCTCGCCCTCCTGGGACTGGGGGCTCATCTGTCGGAAAGCGGCATCTTTCACTCACTGCCCCATGCCAGCAGCATCGGCTCGTGGGGGGCACGGCCAGTGGCGCGCAGGGAGCTGCAGGAGCAAAGGGACCCCATGCCGGCACAGGTGCCGTGGCCCCGGTGGGAGGAGGAGGATGCTTACAGCAAGGGGACCTGATGGATGGGGACACGGGGACAGCCTGGCACAGTGCCACCCCACCAGGGACTTGATGCAGCCGGCTGCCTGCAGTGCCGGGGCAGAGAGCCTGCTCACGCCGCACAGCTCCTGCCAGCGGGACCCGGCCACTGAACACTCTTGCCTGCCCGGCATCCCCCTTGGCCGTAGATGCTCCGTGCCAAATCCCTGCAGCACCCATTGGCACCTGGGGGGCCAGGGAGCCCTCCCCGAGCTGGGAGCAAACCCACCCGCCGGGGGCTTGGGCTGCGGGCAGAGTGTGCAGGCAGCAGCGAGCCCAGGGAGTGCAGGGGGGGTGTGGCTGGGTGGTACCTTGGTGCCATGGTAGAAGTCATCCACGCAGGTGGCATTCATGAAGGTCTGGTGGAAATGGGTGCTGGTGTCAATGCCGCCAGGGATGACGAGCTTGCCGGTGGCATCGATGACCTTCGCCCCGCCAGGGATCATAAGCTCACGGCCCACTTGCTGGATGATGCCGTTCTCGATGTAGACGTCCGCCTCCAGCGTGCAGTCGTCGTTCACCACCTTCCCCCCCTTGATGAGGATCCGCATGGTGGCCGCATTGGCGAGCATGGCGCTGCAAGAGCAGGAGTCAGCCCCGGGGCGGCTGACGGGTGCCCCCGTCCTGCGCAGCCCCCTGGGGCCGGGGGGGGCTCACCCCCACCGCCCACCCCTGGGGGTCCCAGGCTGGCACGGTGCTGCCGCTGCAGGGGTGAGTCCCCCTTCTCGGCACGGGGACCCGGTGCAGGCAGGCAGGCAGGGCTCCAGGCAGCCCAGCGGCTGCGCATCCGCCATGCCCATCCCCGCCCTGGGCCATGTCAACACTGGATTATCTCGGGAAATCCGCAGAGGGGGGGGGGCCCTGGGCGCCGGGTCAGGGGCTGCCACTCTGCCGAGCCCCCCTCCTCTGGTGACATCAGCCTGCACCCTGGTCAGCGCCGACCGCCCCATGGTCTCAGCACCTGGAGCCGGCTACGGACTGGGGCTGCCGGACCCCCACCCTTGCCAGCCCCATGCACAGCCAACCCCCCTTTGCTCCCCCCCTGCTATGGGCAGGGACCCCAGAGCGAGGGAGGGGGTCAAGCCCCAGCTGCTGGTGCCACATGTGCTGAGTGGACGCTGTTGGGGCTTCTCCCTGGGGCGTGAGCCCCCATGCTTGGGGCAGGCTGGCTGCCTCTGGCCCACAGCCCCGCACGGTGCAAGCTCTGCTGGAGCTCCCCACGCTGCCTCAGCGCCGCCTTCGCCCCCCTGGCAGCGAGGGGCGTCCCCAGACACGATCTATAATTCATTTGGTAGATGAAGGTCAAACGTGATCGACCTGTCTGAGCAGGGCCGGCACGCGACAGCTGCACGGGCACCCTGGGAGCACCATCCCCCCAGGGGGCGCGAGGTGGCCTGGGACCCCACCAGAACCCACGGCACTGCCCGGCCTCACCGGCACAACCACGGGGCAGAGCCCACGATGGCACCGGCCGTGGCTGACCTGCACCGAGCAGCCCCGGCTGCCGCAGGGTGAGCGGGGCCCCAGCACCCACCGAACCCCAGTGTCCCCAGGCCCCCGGACAGGGACGGTGCACGCCGTCCCTGCCATGATGCCGGGGTCAGCACTGGGCCATGGGGCAGAGGATGCTGCTGGTGGGGGCACGGTCCCTCGTGGCAAGGGGCTGGCCCGGTGCCCCCACAGCCCTGCCGCCATTCCGTGTGGATGCTGGGGCTGGGGCACTGCTCTGAAGGGACCGTCCTGAGCATGTGCCAGCGATACCCAGCCGCCCGGCGAAACGCCGGCTTGGCAGCAAATGGCTTCCCCGGCCGTTGGACCTGGCGGAGAGCCGCGGTGGCCGGCGGGGCTGAGCTGGGCCCTGCCAGCAGCTGAGCATTCCCAGCGCTGCAGGCAGGAGCAGCTGCCTGAGGAGGGCGAGCGGCTGTGCCCACTGCAGTGCCAAAACCGTGCTGGGGCTGGGGGACACCGGGAGCCCTTGCTGGGTCGGCTCCTGCCCCAGGGCTCCACAATTGCAATGCCAGCCCTGCTGTGGGTGAGGTCGGTGCCAGCCTGTGCCTCATCCCGCTGCTCTCACGCCGGCACAGGACCGAAGGGAGCACCTGCCGGAGGGTCCTGTAGCCAGCCCCCCTGCCGTAGGGAACGCTCCTGCGAAAGGCAGCCCCCGCCCTTCCAGGAATGCTGCCACCATGCACAGCTGCACCGGCTGCTGAGGGATGGCAGAGGAAAATGGGTCCCAGAGGGACCGAGGCGGGACAGCAGCGACCTTCCTGCCGGCAGCAGCTCCTCGCGCAGCATGCCAGGCCACCGCGGCATGCCAGGCACCGGCACCCCATCCCAGCTGGTCCCAGGGCAGGGGCAGCCTCTGCCCATACCTGCCCCCCAGGTCTGCCTCCGGTACCCAGGGAAGCTGCTGCCCCATGCAAGGGCTGTGCTGGGGGGCACCCAGACCCACAGCTGCGCAGCAGGGGGCGAGGGGGGCAGCCCCAGCTGGAGACCTGCTGAACCCCTATGCCAGCAGCAGCCAGGATGGGGCAAGATGTCAGGGTAGAGGCCGACCTTGGTAGGGTGAGGGACTCCAGGAGATGCGCTGGTGCCCATGGGAGACGTGGTGGTGCCCACTGCCACCCCTGACCCCCCTGGGACCCTAGGGCAGGGGTGGGACGGGCAGGATGGTGCTTGTGTGGCACAGGAATGGGGGTGTGGGAGGAGGGTGGGGCATGGCACCCCGAGATGAAAGCGGGTTGTTGTGATGGATGGATCTGGAGCGCGGCAGTGTGCAGGGAGGCAGCCTGTGCCGGCTCCCAGCAGCACCGCAGAACCCCCCCGCCACATGGCATGGACAGGGCCCCCCGACACAGGTGGGGTGGTGGGAGAGGGCACCTGTTGTGCCTGGTGCTGCACAGACCAGGATAGGACCTGACCTGGCCCGGCATCCTGCACAGCTCGGCCTGTCCTGGGACCTCATGGGCAGGACCGTGCTGCCAAACACTGCCCAGCTGCCAGCCGGATCCGTGAGGTCTGGCACAGGGGAGCGGGTGGGCTCTCTGGCCCCACAAGCAAGACTGGGGAGAGGGTGGCTGCCATGGGTGTGCTGGAAGGGGGTGAGCATGGTGGGCAGTGGCAGACGCACAGGGGGGTTGAGGTGTTGGCCGTGGGGACAGAGCATCACTCAGGGACACAGGCGAGGGTGAGCGTGGTGTGGGCTGGACACGATGCACAGACGAGGGCTGGCAGCTCCAGACGCTGCCCGTGGCCTTGGCCACCATGGAGCCACCCACGCCGCCGCTGCTGTGCTCCCCCCACCCCGCTGCACCAGGCCCATCTCCTGCCCCCTCCTCGGAGACCCAGCCGGC